GGGCTCGGTTTCGGTGCCTGGCGCCATCAGCGGACCTGAGCGCACGCCCTGGTGCCTCCACGTCTGCTGCTCTGCTCCGCCGGCCCCCCGGTCGCTCCACCTGTGTCTTCCTCTTCTGGAGGCAAGCGGCCAGGCTCTGCCTCCTGGTCCAGGAAGAGCCTTTCCTCCTCTTTCTGCGGCGGGAGCTCTTTTGTGTCTGCTGTGCCTTTTGCACGGTGTTCTCTGGACCCTGTACTTGTCCAAGGGGTGTCCTTTCTGTGGTTTCTTCCCTCCTCTCTTGGGCAGCACCTGCTTGCACCTTCCCTGCTGGGCTGTGAGTGACGGCTGGTGTGTCGAGGGGCCACTTGTCTCCTCCCGTTTCAGCTTCTTGCACACTTCTCTGCCTGGCGACATGGTTGGGGTCGTGTCCCTGCAGTTTGGTCGTCTGGGCCGTTTCCACGTCTCGTTGTGTCCTGCACTCCTGTCTGTCCGGGCCTGAGCTCAAGTTAAGAGGAGGTGTCTGGCCTGCCATGGGTCACGGTGTTGCAGCTCTGATCCGTGGGCTCCTCACGGACCAGTCTCCAAGCCCCCTAGCCCTGCTGAGGAGGGCCTGCCTGGCGAGGAAGCCGCAGTCCCCACGCATGTTCTTTTCCTTGCTTGTCTCTGCCATCAGGAGGTGCTGCGAGGAGGAGGGGGCTGGGCTGGTGGGGCAGCAGCTGGAGCAAAGGTCGGGGGGACCAGTCCACGGACGCCGGTGGGAGTCCTTCCCTCAGGACGTGTGTGCCAAGTGCTGGCCCTCCTGCGGGATGTGTGCCGGCGCACAGCAGTGAGGCGGCGTCCTGGGGGGCTGGGGAGGGCCGAGCCGGGGGCCGTGCAGACCGTTGCCCTGCCTGGCGCATCCCTTGAACAGGACCACGCGGGGGAGCCCTGGCCCTCCCCCGGATTGTCTCTCGGCGCAGCCGTGCCAGACCCCTCCTGTGGAGCGCTGGCCCACGTGCGAGCCTGGGCCTGGGCCCTCGGCTCGGTCCCAGTCTTGGACTTGTGCCCAGAACCACTGTGAACGTTCGTGCCGGCGTCGTCTCCTTGGCTCTCAGGAGAGCGCTGAGGGTGGGCCTGCTGGGTCAGCACCCAGTCTGCAGGCGGCCGTCTGGCTGTTTCCCAGCAGGCGCCCCTCGCCGCAGCGGGCTTGCCCAGCGGCAGTTCTCTGGGTGGGATGTGGTGCCTCCGCCCCGCTGTCCCCCACGGGGGCTCTGCTGTAGTCCCCAGTCCCGTCTCTTGCCCGTGGCTTATCGGGTTGCGTGTTACCTTCTTACGGGGTTTTGAGTCATTTACATGTCCAGAGACACATCCTTCATCAGATCTGTGACTTCAGGCAAGTCTGCAGGGCGTCTTTTTGTTCCCTTAGCAGTGTCTTTCAGAGGCCAAGTTCTCGACTTTGACGAAATCTGATTTTTCAGTGCTTCGTGGATTCTGCGTTCAGCATCCCATCTGGGAAGTTTTTGCCTGACCCATAGTCATGTTTCCTCCCGTGTTCTCTCTGAGTGTCTGTACTTCCAGCTGTCAGGTTGATGTCTGGTCCCCCCAGCATCAGTGTGAGGTGTGGGCCGGGCCGTGGGCTCACCTCCTGGCCTCAGCGCCCTGTGCAGTGGGCAGAAATGCTCCACCTCAGCGAGCGGGCCACCTGGCCTCCCGCCCGGCTCTCAGGTGGTGTGTGCGCTTGTGTCCCTAGGCTCTGTCGAGGACACCACGTCCAGTGTGTTTGGCGAGGAGGACGCCGAGGACGAGGAGCTGGAGGCCGCCGCCAGCCACCTGAACAAGGACTTCTACAGGGAGCTCCTTGGTGGTGGCCTTCCTGGCAGCTCAGAGGTGGCGGGGGGCCCTGAGGGGCATGGCAGGCCCCCCGCCCTGGAGTCCCTCCTCGGCCCCCTGCCCACAGCTGCCAGCCTGGGCATCTCGGACTCCATCCGAGAGTGCATCTCCTCCCAGAGCCGAGACCCCAGTGAGTACTGGGGGCTGGGGGGAGGATGCAGGGCTCCTCCGGGTGGGTGGAAGGTGGGGTGCTGCTTGGAGGGCAGGCTTCTGGAAGGGCAGGCTTGGGAGGGGCACTGCAGCCCCACTGCAGGGCTGTGTGAGCGGCCGGCCACCCTGCTGTGCCAACACCCTGGATGGCCAGGAGGGCTTCTCACCATCTTGGGGACCCTCCTCCAGTGGCCAGAGCCCTCTGTCCGGGGGCTGTGACTGCAGGCTCCTTCCTGCCCCTGGGCAACTCAGGAGGTGTCAGTGCAGAGGCCTCCTGTGAATCTCAGCTGAGAAGTCACGGGCCCTAACCCTAACCCCCTCCCTGTCCCCTGCATGTCTAGTCTGGTGGGAAAGCATCGGCTGAGCTCCCCGTCTCCATGAGTTAGACGGACACTGCCCGCCAGGCTCCAGTGCCCACAGTGATGGAGCCCTGAGCAGGGTGACAGTTGCTGCCACCCCCTGGGGAGGCCTGGAATGCAGGCAGCTCCAGGAGGAGGGCGGGTTTGGTTCCATCTGGTTCACTGCGAGCCCTGGCCCTGCCTCCTCTCCGAGGCTGAGGGTCTGCCTCTGTGTGCGAGGAGCCCACGTAGGGGAACACTATTCAGAGGCACGTTCAGCTGCTCAGGTGTTCGCCCTGCGCCCTGTATGAGTGAAGCCCCAGGCGGGTCCCACGCTGTACCCAGTGGGGGCATGTGCAAAAGCCCTGAGGCAGCTAAGGGTGCTCTGACCTTGGAGCAGAAGAGGCCCTTCTGACTGGAGCTGAGACAGGGAGGGGAGCGAGGCAGACCCCAGAGGGGCACTGGGTGCGTCTGAGCACCAGGTGTCCTCGCGGGACCTCAGCTGTGGAGCGACAACATGGCAGGAGAGCCCGGGAGGTCTGCCGTTGGGGTGAAATAGGCTCAGCAGAGGGCTGCCAGGTGCTGAAGGGGTGGTGGGCGGGAGGGCCAGCCCCAGTTTCTGGGCCGTGCACTTTGTGCTGTTGACGCAGCTTGGGCAGAAGAGGATGGCTGAGGTGTTGGGGGTGTCCTGAGCACAGCCACAGCCAGGAGGGCATGAGGACAGGGGTTTCCCCTGTGGGTTAGCGTCCTGCTTCCTCCACGAGGTGCTGGGGTGAGTCTCGTCCCCTGTGCCCTGCATTCGCGGGGCCCGCCAGTGGCCAGGAGGAGGCGTGTTCCAGAAGCCCTAGCCGCACCCCCAAGTCCTGTGATGGCCCAGGTGGCATGGAAGGTGGCCCTGAACGCAGACTGTGCTTCCCTCCAGAGGACGCGTGCGGGGACGGTGAGCTGGACCTCAGTGGCATCGATGACCTGGAGATCGACAGGGTGAGCGCCGTGGCCATGGGTTGCTTGGGGCTCCCAGCTAGTCCCGCAGTGCTTGTCCCCCGCCAGCGGGGAGCCTCTCCACCAGCCACCTTGTCTGAGGTCACCTGCATGTGCTTAAGTTGGTGTCCTGAGCCCTCAGCTCAGTGCCTTCTCGGGGGCCCTCCCTGCGCTCTGGCTGGCCCAGCGCCTGCGCCTGCAGGGCCTGTGAGCTGCCAGCCGGGGGGCAGGTGCAGTGCTGGTTCACGGATGCAGCCCTCAGGCTGGCCTGGGAAAGGTGAGGGTCTCCACACATGTTCCCTCTTGGGTCGGAGGCCTGCGTCCTGCCCATCATGTAGAAGGGGAGCATGTTTGTGGCTGAGACTGGAATGTGCCGTCTGAGGGACGCTCTGCTCTGCCCCAGTACATCCTGAATGAGGCAGAGGCCCGCGTGAAGGCCGAGCTGTGGACACGGGAGAATGCTGAGTACCTTCGGGAGCAGAGGGGTGAGTGCCCACCCAGGTGTCCTGGGGTGCCACCTCGCTGACCCCACCCGCCCGGCTGACCCCACTGCTCTGCCTTCCAGAGAAGGAAGCAAGAATAGCGAAGGAGCGGGAGCTTGGCATCTACAAGGAGCACAAGGTGGGGCGTCCCCCACTCCCCGGGGCCCGGGAGGCCTGCTTGGGGCCCAGCCCGGCCGGGGGTCTGCGCAGGGGCTGTGGGCAGATGGCAGCCGCCCAGGCGCTCGCTCACCAGGGCGGCTCAGGCTTCCCAGTAGCCCCTGGCTGCTTGAGCCCCTGCCCCCTGGAGCCCGGCTGGCGCTGAGGCCCACAGAAAGAATGACTTTTGTGTTTCCATTGAGCCCAAGAAGTCTTGCAAGCGACGGGAGCCCATCCAGGCTAGCACGGCTGGGGAGGCCATCGAGAAGATGCTGGAGCAGAAGAAAATCTCCAGCAAGATCAACTATAGCGTGCTCCGGGACCTGGACAGCAAGGCCGGGGCCGGCCTGCCCAGGGAGGACGCCCGGCCCGAGGAGCAGGCCCCAGCCAAGAAGCTGCCTCGGAGGAAAACGTCTGCCAGCAGGAGCGGGGCTGGTCCCGGGACCAGCGTGGGGAAAAGGTACCGGGTGGGCTGGGGCCCGGGCCATGCAGAGGCGCTTGGGGAGTGTTGGCCACCTGAGTGCTAGGAACCATTGCTGGTGTCCGGCAGGCCCCTGCTGCCCCGGCCAGGGCCGAGGAGGGGCTCCAGCCCCGGAAGGGCTCCCGTGGCATCAGGGCCTGTTGTGTTTCAAGGAACAGTGGGCCAGGCTGATTCTCCATCCCAGGAGTTGGTTCTCCTGGGTGTCCCCCGCGCCTGCCCCGCTCTCATCCCCTGCTCACTGCCGGGCAGGGGGGTTGGCTAGAGGAGACAGGAGTAGTGGCCGCAGTGTCACTCCCGATGGGGGCAGGCGGGCAGGGGCCACCACCCTGCAGAGATGGTCCGGGCAGCTCTGTGGCCTGTGTGCGGCTGAGGGCACAGAGGGGACTCGCCTGGATCGGAGACGGGCGGAGACGTGAGACCTGTGGGTCTGCGAGGGAGCCTGGCACGAGGGGAGCCTGGGGTGGGAGGGCTGCCAGGCCTGGAGCCCGGGTGAAGGAGCAGGCAGGCCACAGCGGGGCCTCGGGTGGACGGGACCCAGAGGGGCGGGGCGGCGGGGCTCTGCCCCCCCACGTCGCCCAGATGTGCTATAGTGGCTGAGGCCGTCATGCTGTGCTCTCTTCCAGGTTGAGGCCGATGGTGTCACCGCAGCTGGCTAAGAAGGTGGCTGTCGGGGAGGTGCGTGGTGCCGAGACTGTGGGAAGCAGTGGCTGAGGATGGGCTGATGGGGATGGAGCATCGGCACTGCCGCTCTGGCTGTCCCAGCCCCGGCAGAGGGGCCTGTGGCCCAGGGTGGCCCCGGGGACAAGTGCCCTGGGAGCTGGAGGCCACTGGTGTGCAGCAGTGTCCAGCATTGCCCCCAGGCCAGCGTGCAGCCATCCAGGCTCCTCTGTGTGGGAAGCAAGGCCCAGCCCCAGGGTCCATCCCGGCCAGTGTTGGGCCTTCCCTCTTCCCTTGTCTGGGGACTGGAGGCCTTCCTCTTAACGTCAGGATCCTGGTCTGGACCAGGAAATGAAAGTGAGGGGAGGGAGGGCCCCTAGGCAGCTGCAGGGCAGGATGGGGTCGCGGGGGGCAGCCTGTGCTCCAGGCCCCCTCCTTGGGCAGGGGCCCTCCTTCCTCCGGCAAGGCCTCAGCAGGAATGAAGAGTTTTCTGGAAGCTCCTGGGTGTGCACGGGGCGAGGGGAGAGGCCACGGGGCTCGGGGGTCCTTGCTGACTGCTCTTGGAAGGTGGGAAGGGTCCCCAGCGGGGAGCTGTGCTCCGCCCTGTCCCCAGCTTGTCCCCTCACCCGCCGCAGGCCTTGCTCCCAAGCCCCTCCTCCCTGGAGGCTGAGCCCGGCGGGCCCACGGCAGTCGTGGTGGAGAGCGGGCCAGTGTCGTACCACCCCGAGGAGGACGCAGATGAGGAGGACGCGGACGAGGAGGACGGCGAGCCCTGTGTCAGCGCCTTGCAGATGATGGGGGGCGACGGTGAGGGGACTCTGCACACTGTTTCACCCGGGAGGAAACTTGAACTGAGTCTTGGTAGGAGTGGCCATACTGGTTTTAAGGCCAAGGGTGCTCAGAGGAGCTGGCCGGGCCTGGCTGCTGTGAAGGCTGTGAGCTCTGGGCTTGCCGGGCAGGGGCTGCCTGGCCAGCAGAGAAAAGCTGCACCCGCCGTATTGCTCATGGGACCTGCCAGGGTGAAAGGACTGCAGTGGTCTCCAGTGATGATGTGTGACCGAGGCTGTGCTAGAGCCCTGAGGGGGCAGCCGTGGCCACGCTGGTGGTGGGCAGGGGTGTGGCCACTCCTAGGCACGCAGGGGGGTGCGGGAGTCGCGGCGGGTGGCACCTGGGCTCCTTGACCTCACGGCACTCCTCCGGCACCCGTGACTGTTTCTTGTGCTTTGCAGATTACGGCTGTGATGGTGATGAGGACGATGGCTACTGAGGCGTGACCTTGCAGCCGGCAGCCTTTGGCGGTGGCCCCCGTTGGTGTCTCATCAAGGATCAGTCAGGGTCTTTGATGCCAGGGCCCGCAGGCATGTGTGCCCAGACTCCCCGTGACAAGATGGGCGCTGCCCCGCCGGCTCCGTGCGCCTCATCCACAGCTGCACGAGGCTTCCACGGCACTTGCTGTTGGGACCACGTTCTGAGCAGTGTCAGGAGTGTTTCTGCCCAGCAGGGGGCACCGGATCGGATGTCTGTGTGTGTCTGGTCAGAGGTGGGTCTCACGGCCCAAGAACCCTTGCAGAAACCCTTGCGCGAGGGCACTGTCACGTCCCATGGAAGAAATCTGAGGCACAGGGAGGTACAGCCACTTTCCCAAGCGAGTGGAGGGCCAGGTGGGTTCCAGGACCCCTCTGCCCCTCACCTTCTAGCTGGTCAGAGAAGCACTTTGTGTCCAGCCCTGTCCTCTGCTGGTCCAGAGCTGGTCCTGTGTCTCCACCTGAAGTCCCCGGCCAGGCACTCGTGCCTCCCTGCCCCTGCCTAGGCCGTGGGGACCTCGTGGATCTGCACGTGGGCATCCAGAGGCTGTGTGGCCTCAGCTGGCCAGCTGGCGAATCCAGTCAGTCCAGCGTCAGCAGAGGTCGAGGCACAGCTGCCCTGGGGACCCAGCGTGGCCAGCCTGGACAGAGCCGAGGTCCGGCTCACCGTCCACCAAGGGATGGCAGGCAGAGGGTCCCCAAGCCCGGTGGTCCAGCCCCAGATAGTTTCCGCCACCCTGAACCACCCGGGCCAGGCCTCCTCATAGGAAGGCCCAGAGATCATTCTCAGGGCTGGGCATCCCTGCTCTGGAGGTAGCCTGGGAGGTAAGGCAGATGTTTCTGTCCCTTGAGGCCCCAGCCTTGGCCACCTGCCCCCCACGGTGGCAGAGCCATGCCACACTACCTTCTGGGGCCCAGCCCCCATCTCCTAGGGTGGGCAGACCCCTCCCAGGGCACAGCAGAGTGTGCAGGGAGCAGCTCTCGAGGTCCTTGGTATACTCCTCGGCCTGTACCCTGCAGCCAGTCTGGGGCCCCAGGGCTCCTGGAAGGCTGGAGTGGAGGATGGGTAGGTGAAACAAAGATCATTACTTGAGCAGAAACCCACTGAGACTGTGGTCTGTGACTCTGTGTCCAGCTCTGTGGCCTCCCTGGCAGAGTGAGGCTGAGGCAGGCACGCCTGGTCCTGTTCTCAGATGCACGATGAGGCTCCATCAGCGACATGTCCCCCCACTCCCTGCAGGGGGTCCCTGTGCCGTGGGTCCCTGGTGTGGGCATCCTGGCGTGGGCGCACCGTGGGGCTGTGGGCCGGGAGGGCTCGCTTGGCTGCAGGGGCTCATAGGGGAGCCTCATGGGCTTGGGGCGCTCCCGGCACTGCAGGAAGCAGATGGTGGGCCAGGCCAGAGATGACGGGGTGGGGGTGGCGGGTGCTCAGGGAACTTCCAGGTGGTGGCAGCTGGCGGCTGTGGAGAAGGTGCACCCAGCGGTGTGAGGCTGGTTTTCAAGACGGCTCTGGCTGGAAATAAGGGGCTTCTGGGTGGAGGCCTGGAGGGTGGGTGGCTGGGCAGGACTGTGCTGTCCTGCAGGGGAGGAGGGGATGGCACTGCCTGGCCAGTGAGATGAGGGCTGGGGCCAGGAGCGGACGCTTGCATGCTCTGGGGGAGGCTGCTGAAGCAGAGCAGGAGGTGGAGGGGGTTTGGGGGAGACGAGCATGCTGGTGGCTGGCAGGGCCAAGGCCAGAGGTGCCTCACCCACCCCTGAGGTGGGCAGGAGGCCCCGAGGAGGCTGAGAGGCAGGCAGGGCTGCTGGAAGGGGAGGTCTGTGGGCAGGAGGTAGTGATTGGGAGTGGCGTCCGGTCCCAGAATGGCTGGGGTGCCTCTGGGCTGTGGCCAGCGCCCTGTATGCTGGCCACCACTACATGTGTGGGCTTGAGGGGGACATGCAGGTCTGTGTGCACCTCCAGCCATGTCCCCGTGCCGCCCTCCCAACCCGGAGAGTAACCTGTTCCATCAGACCCGGGATCATGGGGAGGGAAGGGAGGGGAGGCAGGGAGGAGGCACAGCCCCTAGAACTCACACTGTCTGGACGTCTGCCCTGAAGCCAGGTCCCTCCAGCTGCTGGCCCAGGGTCCACTCCCAGCGGAGGCCTGGGAGGGTGGCCCCCAGCAGGGCGGGGTTCAGGCTGCCTTCCCCTGGAATCCTGCACATCTCGGCCTCTCCCAGACCCCCGGGTTGTGGACTGGACGCCAGCATGGCCGCTCCTCCCTCCCCCTCATGTCTTCAGCCCTGCTGGGTGGACGGCAGGAGTGGGCACCCCAGCTCGGGGGAGAGGGATCCTGGCGACCCCCCATCCGACACCTGCCGGTCAGAGTCACCGAGGTTCTGATTGCCAAGGGGTGCGTCACAGTGTCCACCCCCCGCCATCCAGTTCCCCCCGAGCCGCGCTCTCTCCACCCACTGCTTGAGGCCCCTCTGTGGTGCTGTGGGGGGTGCGGGGGGCCTGCTCCCTGCCCGGGGCTCGGGGGCCTGCCCTGGGAGCCGTGTGGCCCACCTGGTTGGAATCAGCACCAGCTGCTGGCGTGAGCTCGGGCTCCGATGGCTGCTGACAGGTGGGCCCCAGGCCCATCCTAGTCTCCCAGGTGAAACCAGGGGAGCTGGATCTCATCACCCAGCTGGGAGGTGGCCTCCCTGCCCTTCCTGGGGAAGTGAACTCAACACATCCCGCCAGGCTGGGGGCTGCCTTGCAGATTAGTCCAGCTAGACCCCATCTTGGACCTGAGCCAGGTGCCCCGTGGGGCCTGGCCAGGGCATGGTCTTACTCCCAAGGAGCCCACGCGGTGCCGGGGAGCAGCTGGGAGAGGTGACCTCCTCCCTACATCTGAGCCCAGCTTCCTAGGGGACCACCGGCCTGTCCCTGTCATGTGACGGGTGGGGCCACATGCCACGCTTTGGCTGTCTGGGGACAGGTGTTTGCACACAGCATGTGTGCACCCGAGCCCCTGGGGCAGTCCAGGAGTGTGTCCCCTCATTCCAGGTGCCCTGAGCTGGTAGTGGGAACCCTGGGGTGGGGGTCAGGAGTCAGACAGAAGGAAGGCTGAAGGCTGGAGCCACCTCTGACCTCCACCTCCCAAGAGCTGTCCAACCCCTGCCCGCTGCCGCTGTCACTTCAGGGTCACATCAGCCTGCTCAGCCTCAGGCTGCGCGTGCCCTGGGCCAGAGCTCACACACCTGCCTCCTAGCTGCTCCCCCACGTGCCCTCATGTGACCCCTCAGTGGTTTCTGGATTGGTTAGGCCTCCAGGCAGACAGCAGGGCTGAGGGCCACCCACTGCTACCAAGATCACCTGCAGGCAGGGTGCAGGCTTTAGGGGAGGGGCACGTGCCAGGCAGCCCCTGAGAACAAATGCCCACTAACATGGACTTGGCCATTCGCCACCTCAGACACTCCGCTGTGCCTTGTCAGCCCCCGTCCCTGACCGGCTTGGCACTGTGGCCAGTTCCAGACTGCATAGTCTCCATCTCACCTTCCCTGGGCCAGGCCTGGGCACGGTGATGCCCCAGCCTACTGTCTACCTCTTGCCCATCTCCCCAGCCCCTTTGTCATCCACTTGGAAGGCTGGAACGCTGGTGGAGCAGGGGGGGTCAGGCTGGGCCTGTGGGCTGGCAGCCTGGGACTGGAGTGGGGGCTCTTGTCGTTGGGCCGGGGCTGCGCCAACTGCTCTCTCCCATACCGAGCGGGGCCCTGGGAGGGGCCTAGATGTGCCCATCACACACCCCAACAGCCCGCCAGGCTAGGGGCTGCTCTGATCAGTGCAGCAGGTGTGTTGAGAGCAGGGCTCCAGGGGTCGCAGCGAGATGGACACACGGACTTGCACTGTAGGCCAGTGTGGACACCAAGGGGTCAGTGGGGCGTGTGTCTGCAGGACAGTCCTGCAGGGTGACCGTGACCATGTTGTCAGGAGAAGCCAGGTCCTCGCCCCACCATGACCACTGCTGTGTGGCCTGGATGGAGGTGGGCAGGCAGGCCCTGACCCTCGGGCTGCCCAGGCCAGTCTCCGCCTGGCTTCCTGCTTCCAGGCCACAATCAAGCTCCAACTGAGACCAGAGACCACACGGCCCCCCACCCTGGGGACACTCCATTCCCCAGATAATAAAAGTGGCCCACAGAGGTGTAGGTGCGGGTCAGGGCCTCAGTCTTTGTCCTCTCATGTGCCCTCTTGTCACTGTAGGGCCTGAGCCACTGGGCCCAGGCCAGCCCGCCTGGGGCTCCAACTCCAGTGCCACCCAACCCACCCGCCTTGGGCATTGCAGAGTGCCGCCTCCACGTGCCCACCCTGTTCCCTTCCTGGGGTTGAGGACCTCCGTGCCCAGTCGAGACGGTGAAGACAGACACGGAGGAAAATGCAGCCCAAACCTCAGCCTGGGTCTGAGCCCCACTGCCCGGGCTCTGATCGCCCTCCACACGCGGCTGCAGTGCCCAGCAGGCCGCCCGAGCTGTCAGTTCCTGGGGCTGGCAGGTCAACACGCCTCAGCTGCCTATGACCCTAGAGAGCCTCAGATTGTGCCCCCACTGCAGGCCCCAATGATGCAGCCATACCCTGAGCAGCTGGGGGTGCCCCAGGACCAGCTGGGCTCAGTGGGGAGGCCTTGCCTGGCCAGGCCAGAAACTCAGCCCCTGGGGCAGCCCCTCTGCCTGCCCCCGTCCTGCGAGAGGACCGATGCTCTTCTCGCGGCCTTGGGTTTGGGGCCCCCATCCCCAGCCCAGGAGTCCAGCGACATCCTCCCAGGTCCCAAGCTGCCACTTACGCAGGGCCCTCTGCCACCCAGCACATGCACCCTGGCCCCTCGGGGGACACTGAGAGGGGCCAGCTGGTTCTTGCAGGAGGGGCTCCTGAGTCATGTCACGTCCAGCTCTGGTGCTGTGCGTGGGGCCGGGTCTGCGTGGGGCCAGCAGCCCCTGCGCCTACGTGCCTGGAGGGTTGGCCAGTCCCCGAGGAGGCCTTGGCCCCGGCCAGGCTGGCAGGGGGTGGGGGCGAGGGACTGGCCAAGGCTGCAGGCCGCAGGCACTGACTGCCCAGGCCCTTCAAAGGGGCCGTGGGCGGTGGCAAAGTGGAGGCTCTACAGTTTTCCTGCCGGGAGAGGAACCTGGCTCAGGAAGCCATTGTCCCCACACAATGGGTCCGGTTGGGACTGTGGGCCAGGGCCCCAGACTGGTGGAACCTGACCCCGACCTCAACCCTGACCCTGGCCCTCCTCATACCCTTGACCCCCATCCCTGCCAGACCCTGGCCAGGCCAAGGGAAGGCTGCTCCTTTGTGAGGCTGGGGAACTGGGAAGGACCAGGACGGGGCGCACTCCTGGTCAGCCCCACAGGGAGGGTCACCGTGCATCATGGCTGCAGAGACTCAGCCGGAGCCCTGGAAGACTGCTGGGTGGCGTGGGGGCTGTCCTCTCCTGGGCAATGAGGGGCTTTCACACTGGCCGGGCTGAGTAATCGCTTCCCCCCATTTGGAGGTCACGGTGAATAGGCACATTGTCTGCCAGGTGCCTGCCTTGGTGTGGCCTGGGAAAATGACCATCCAGCACTTCGCAGGGGGATGCCTGCGTGGCCCCCACCCCCGGCTTCAGCCACAACATGGAGCAGAACCCGGGTCAGCATGGGCCCAACTGGCAGGACCTGCGCTGTCCGGGCAGGGCCTGACTGCAGGCAATCACGGGGCTGGGCGGACGGGGTGGGGGTGGGAGTGGCCCTGGGCCCAGAGGCTGAGCTGGGATCACCACCTGCACACGCCATGTCACGCTGGTGATGGGGACGTGCAGGAGGGTTAGCTTATGTCCCCGTGCCCGCCCCCCACAGGTCTCCCTGGGGGCTCACCACTTCTGGTCTGCCTCCCCACCAAAGCCCCTTAACAGAATATTCCTTCCAACCACACACAGAACTCTGGAAGGGACCTGTTTCATGGGTTGACCGGTTACTTAGTGAGCCTTGACAAAGCCTCATAGCAAAACTCTTGGTTATGAGGTTGGCTGTGGGGACAGGGACGTGGCGGGGGGGGGGACAGCCTCCATGCTGGGGAAACAAAACAGGCCAGGGATGGAGAGTGA